CAACTATTTAAAAGAAAATCGACCATCTTTACTCTTGTCTCATCATTTTATTCGATATTTTGGGGATTTGTCTGGAGGTCAAGTTTTAAAATACAAGATGAGGAAACGCTTTCAACTTTCAGAAAATGATGACAATGGTCTCCAGTTTTATGAATTTAAAAATATCGAAAATAGCAACAAATTCATGAAGTTCTACATCAATCGTATGAACGGTTTAGAAATGTCCAGTTCTACTTATAATGAAGTTTTAGAAGAAGCTCGAAATGTCTTTCAATTAAATATTGATTTATTTAAAGGTTTAGAAATAGAGTTTCCTAAACTCTGTTCCCAATATGTTAAAAATAATAACACAGATTCTAAACAGCTGTTTGATAGTCCGGTCATTATATTTGACAAAACCTGGAAAGCTGGAGTGATTTTTCTCGGACTTGCCATCATCACAAAACTGGTCCAAGCAACTGTTAATTAACAAACTCAATCGCAGAGTGCTGGGACGTGTTTCTTAGTGCTAGTTTCCTATGAAGGAACATTAGCTAAAGTTATATTATTTTATAGGTAACGCTCTGCCCTGTTTGTATTGTATAATCTTTGTAAATAATAAAATTCTGTTCAACATTAAATCTTGACATTGTGAAGATGAAGTTTGTAATAGCTTGACATTGTGAAGATGAAGTTTGTAATAGCTTGACATTGTGAAGATGAAGTTAGTAATAGCTTGACACTGTGAAGATAAAGTTTGTAATAGCTTGACATTGCGAAGATGAAGTTGGTAATAGCTTGACATTGTGAAGATGAAGTTGGTATAGCTTGAAATTGTGAAGATGAAGTTTGTAATAGCTTGACATTGTGAAGATGAAGTTTGTAATAGCTTGACATTGAGAATATGAAGTTAGTAATGGTTTGACTTTGTGATCGTGAAGTTTGTAATAGCTTGGCATTTTGAAGATGAAGTTTGTAATAGCTTGACATTGTGAAGATGTAGTTTGTAATAGCTTAACATTGTGAAGATGAAGTTGGTATAGCTTGACATTGTGAAGATGAAGTTTGTAATAGCTTGACATTGTGAAGATGTAGTTTGT